AGTCCCCATCTAGTTATCCAGTTTTGGAGGGTGGAGATAAAGCAGAATGGAGAAGGAAACTAAAAATAACCTCTGCTTCTGTTTTTCTAACTGTATCTTTTCTGGTCCTGAGCAGTGTTTGGTTGGTTGCTCATTCATTCAACTAATATTTGAGGGCCTATTAGATGTCAGGCTGAGGATAAAAGGAATAAAACAAAATTTTTTTCCCCTCAAGGAGCTTCATTCTGGTTACAGAGACCTAAAACAAGGTAAGTGAAATATAGCATAGGTTAGTGGTAAGTTCTAAGGAGAAAAAGCAGGAAAGGGAGATTTGAAATATCCAGGGGTTGGGGGGGGGGGGAGGCAGATGAAATTTTAGATAAAGCCAGGGAAGCTCACTGAGAAGGAAATCTTTGATCTAAGTCTAGGAAGAGGTGAGGAAGTCGGTATGTGAAGTAGTGATTTAGCTGAGTCTTTGTCAAGGCAATTCAGAAGGCGTATGAATGACACAGTAAAGATCTCAGGATCCCTGCAGGAAAGGGGGTAATTCAAGCAGAAATAACTAAAGGAACAAACATTTAAATTGTATGTTCTTTTAGTCTCTGTGGGAGATACAATAATAACGGAAGTGTTACATAGATGGAGACAAGAAGTATCAGTTGCTAACAACTTTTCAGATTACCACCTCCAGGAAACTGGCCACTCGGGACTATGAATCAATATGAAAAGTTCAACTCAATATTTCATCTTATACAAGCTTAAGGCAGAAAATAAAGGGGAAGAGTTCAGAGGAAGAACTCTTGGACAGATTTGCCTTAACCTCTAGCTCTGTTTTTCTACTATGTTTTATTCAACAAATACTTCATTGCCTATTTTGTGTTTATCATGATGCTAGGCATTGGGAAAGCAGTAGTTTACACGATGAATGGTGTCCCTGACCTCAGCTTCCATGTTAGTAGGGAGAGAGACATTAGGCTATGACGTTTATAGCTATTTAATAGTTGTGATAAGGGAGCTGATTGGGGGCTATAAATGAATGAAACTGATATGAACTCAAGCAAGTCCTTCTAAAAAAATATATTTTTATTTCAGAGGAGAAGGGAAAGGGGTTGAGAGATAGAAACATGAATGATGAGAGAATTATTGATAGACTGCCTCCTGCATGTCCCACTGGGGATCAAGCCTGCAACCCGGGCATGTGCCCTGACTGGGAATCAAACCCATGACCTCCTGGTCAACAATCAACCACTGAGCTATGCTGGCCAGGCAAGCAAGTCCTTTTTGAGGAAGAGATATTTAAGTTGAGACCTGAAGGATGAGAAGGTATTAGCCAAATGTAGGACCAAACGGCTGAGGCAGAGTCCTGAGGGATTGAAAGGCCATAGTTACTAGAGCCTGGACGACAACAGTGTGAGATGAGGCTGGAGAGGTTGTTGGGGGTCAGATGCTGCTGGGTCTTATTGCCCAATATTACAGTTTTGTTTTAATTTCTCATCCAGAAGAAGCCATTGGAATGTAAACAGAGGCTGGAGGCAGATGTGATCAGATGTGTATTTTGATTGGAGAGAGGCAAAATGGATGCTGGGCTTTGAATTCATTTGGTGCTGGTGGAGATGGCGGGGAGTGGATGGAGTAGCGTGGTGTCTAGCAGGTGATGTATTGCATGTGAGAAGGATGAACAACAGTTTGGGGTCAAGAATGATCACCAGGTCTTTTTTACTTTGGGCTGTGGGATGCCATTTGTAGAGAAGGAGAAGCCTGGAGGAGAACCCGATTTGTATGGAAAGGTAAGTTTTAGACAGGCTGAGTTTCAGGTTCCTTATGAGATATCCAAATGGAGGTGCTGAATGGGCTCAGGGATAAAGTCTGGAGAGAGTTGTTTGAAAAGCACCTGAAGCTATGTGAGTGGCTGAGCTAAGTGGAAAGCATAGTGAGAGAGGACCTAGGACAGCTGCCTTCTAGCTTGGCATTCCCACTGGGAAATGGCAGGCCTCTTTACTGTTCTGAGATAGTACATGCCTTTTGAAAAGGACTGCAAGTCACTGAGGGAAAGCATTGAGTGTTTGTGTTACTAGAAACATTTCTGGAATGATTATCCTGTTTAGGAAGAATGATAGCTTACATTCAGAGCATTTAGCATATATCAAACATGAATTAAACACTACCTACAATGTCTCATGCAATGTTGGAAATCCTATGAGGTAGATGCTATTATCTCCATTTTACAGACGTGGAAACTGAGGCTCTCAGACATCCAGAAACATCATCACGGCATAGAGTGGATGACCAAGGTCAGGTTACCTCGCTCCAGAACTGACTCTCGGTCACTACAATATGCTACTTCTCCCTGTTTCCTAGCATATGCAGCCACTTTCTTAATTTCCACTCCCACCCCTCACCTCCCATCAAAAATATATTTTCCACCTTCTTGTCTGCTTCCAATCCAAACACCTATGTCATCCTATCCTATTTTCAGCCTGCCATGCCCAGCTCTCCAAAGGTGGTCCCAAGGCATCATTGGACTACAGAAGAGCAGAGAGCAGGAGGAAGTGTGTATAAACCTGATGTCCATCTAAATGTCCAGTTACCATATTGTAGTCCACTTACCTGCATATCATGAATGCAGCCACATCCCTGCTTTGAAGGGAAAATCTGGGGCTAGGTCCAACATGAGAAAGGAACCATTACTGCTCAGTTGGTCTAATAATTGCCTAGAAAAGCGAGTGAAATTATCCAGGATCACAGTGCTTAGACTAATTCCTCTCACTGACTTCCCTTGGTTTCTAGATTCCATCTCTGCAGGCCCAGTTACCTAGGAGTTTCTTCCAGAAAACTCTGTTCATTCGAAGTACTGAAGCCTTTGGTTTCAGTGACTGAGGCCATTGCAAGCCTTTAGAGACTTCAGAGGAATGCTTTCCAAGTGTCTCCATGCTGGCATTTTTTAGCTTTAACCTCCATGTGCCTTGTGTTTTACAACAGCCTCCTGGATCACTGACTTTAGCTGATTCTGGCCCAGGAACTCTAAGTGACCTCATTCACTTATCATTCACTTATATTCTCCCCCTGCAAGGATCAACCCTTGCATTTGTTTGTGGGCACTTTTGTTTGTAGTCTCCAGGAAGACTACATCTTGTTTGGGGGCCAGCTTTTCTCTCTTCTCCTCTCTCTCAAAGAATAGCTTATTGATTTATTAATTTTTAGAGAGCAAGCAAGGGAAAAGAGAAACATCCATTTGAGAGTACAACGTTGATCAACTGCCTCCTGCATGCCCCCTACTGGGGACCCAGCCCACAACTTAGGCATGTGCCCTGCCGGGGAATCAACCAGCAACCTCTCCTTGCATGGGAGGATGCCCAACCAACTGAGCCACACTGCCAGTGAGCGATGGAGCTGGAGTTGAAAGCCGGACAGTGGGACTCCAGGACGTGTGCTTCTGACCACTGTGCACACTGCCTTCAGGCCTGTCCATGGGGAGATGTGGAAGAGGAACACTCTGCCTCTACATTAATCTACTTCCCCACTGCCCCCAGATCAAGGCCTAAGGGTCCCCCATATCAGCATTGTGTGACTGCATTATGCCAGCCAGAGTTCCTCCTATCTCCTTACTTATTCCATTTAGTCGTTTCTGCAACCAAGGTTCACACAGATTAGCTGAGTTACCCTTGCTGTAGAGCCTGGAGAGATCTGGCTACACTTCCAAAGACCAAACTAAAATGTTCTGTGAGTTATCACAGAATTAGCACCATAAGGTCTTGGCTGGTGTTAGCTCTCAAAAACATAAATAATGAAGCCCAAGGTGAAACGTGTTCTGCTCATCTCTGTTGACAGAGTGGGAAGTGGTAAGGAGCTCTGGCCTGAGACGCCAGCCCACAGACAGACACAAGTGGGAAGTGGTGAGGAGCTCTGGCCTGAGACTCCAGCCCTACCACACATTTCCAAGACTTAGCCTGGGTCCTTAGGTTTCAGTGTCTGCCAACCCTTTCAAAGGGTTGTGCAAAGGTAGAAGAATTGTGTGCCTATATGCATTCTGCCAGAGGCAAGTGTCCTCAGCATTCTTTAGATTCTCAACACCCAAGTGACCCCAAATGGTTTAGAACACTGCATTAGAACACATCATTTTTCAGTAAACATTCTCTCAGCTCTAGTGCCCCAGAGCCAGGTGACTCCTGAAAGGATTTCAAATGCCCATAAACTCCCAAGAATTAGGCTCACTTTGAAAAGTCAAGGTAATCAGAACTTTTCCCTCTCAAGTTTAGATAGTCTCCTGCCCGGGTTACTATCCACTGCTTTCTGCTGTGCTTCCTGGAGCTGGCCTCCTGCCTCATTTGGGAAGAAATTCTGCCCCCAGACCCTTAGGCCCTCCCTTCACCACCTGATTCTGATCCAGGAAGCTCTTAGAAGATCCAGGCCCAGGGAGGCTCTGAGAGCAAAGGAAAGAACAGGGAAGGGAAAGTTGCCATGGAACTCCTTTTCAGGGCAATTGTTTTTCCCCCAGCAGAAGAGGCAGCACACTTCCCAGAGCAAGTAACTGACTGGCCCTCGGGGGGAAGGGGAGAAAGCTGTGTTGAAACTGACCTGGGCCACAGCGAGGCAGGATGCGGGCTGCGCCTGGCTCTCGGGATGCTCATAAGGGTGCCCAGCCCTTATCCCGCTTTCCAAAGTGGCGCAAACAATGACCAGAGCGTGCTCACCACTGGGTCTAATTCGGGGAGGTTTTATTGTACAAATGCGGCCCCTGGAGATGCGGGACGTGGATCCCCACTACAGGCTGTGTCTCTAGACCGGTTTCCCCTCCATCCGTGCCCGGAGAACAAACTGGGTCCTCAGAACCCTGGGCGGGACCCCGTGAATCTCCGCGTCTCCTGGGGCACGCGCTCCCCGAGGGCCATCATTTCACAAAGTCCGGCTGAGTTCACGTTCCGGTCCTGGTTGCGTGCACAAAGTGAGGCAGTGAGCAGGCGGTGACCTCTCTCAGGAATGGCCGAGCTGGCCCCGCTGGCCCCGGAGGAAAGGCTCCAGGGCTACCAGGAGCGGCTCCCTAGGCAGCCCGGCTTCCTTTACGCCCCGGTGGCCGCTCGAGGTCGGGTCCGGAAGGGTCTTGAGTGTGGCGACCCCCAGAGGTCAAGTCCATCGGACCCCTGAGGTCAAGCCCGCTCTGCCCGGCTCACACCCGACTGCTTGTAGCAAGACCCGAACCCGGCGGCCGGCTGCCCGCCCCGGCCCGCGGAGCCCTCACACCGGCCGGCTCTTCCAGGGCGCGCGGGTGTCGCGCAGCGAGCGGTCGTGGGGCAGCGCGGGGAAGGCCGAGCGGCGCAGCTGGCAGCCGATGAAGAGGACGACGAGCGCCACGGAGAGCAGCAGCAGGAAGAAGAGGAGCAGGTAGGTGGGCAGGTCGGGCTTGGCGGCCGCGCCGTCCCGCTCGCCTCGCGCCGTGGCCAGCTCCAGGGGCAGCGCGCCCTCCGCCTTGGCCGTGGCCGCCAGCGCCAGCGCGCCGCCCGCCGCCGCCTCCAGGCCGCCGGTGGCGTTGAACGCGTCGCCGTACATGGCCCGCGGGTCCCCGGCCAGCGCGCTCACTGCGCCTCGCGGGGACCGGCGCTGCCCCGCGCCCCCATGGCGCGTCCTGCTGCGCCCCCTTCCCGCTGCGCGCCACTGACCCAAGAGTCGGGGTGCCACCGGACTCAGCTTTTCTCTCGGCGAGGTGGACGGCTCCGTGCCCGCGCCCCTTGGGCTTTCCCTGTCTGGCCGTCACCAGTGGCGGTGCCAAATCACCCTCCGGGCTGGGACCCCCAGTTCCGGTGAGCTCCGCGCTCTGGGGCGCCTGCGGGCTGCAGCGGCTGCAGCTTGGATCCTTGCAGGGTGCCGTCGGGATGCACGGAGGGCGAAGGCTGGGAGTTGTCTGGCGCTGCTGCCGGCAGCCCTAGCAGCCTCTGGTCCCTGTCCAGTCGCCGAGTGTGCGGCAAACCTGTCCCACTTGCCCGGGCTGCTGCACTCCTGTCTCCAGCTGATGGAGCGCTGAGGCGGCTCTGAGCAAGCTCAGGTTGGGTGGAGGCGGGACTGGCAGAGGCTGTCCCCTGGGAGTCGCTGGGAACCAATGAGGGTGAGAGAGGACAGGGCTGTGACTGCCCCTGCCCAACCTCGCATCCCTCACAGAGGGACACACCGGGTCTCTGAAAGACGAAGAAACGGGCACATATCTATCAACAGAGGCATACAAAACAGACAGTTGTGGACAGCAAGCTGAATGGGAGACAGAGTTCAGCCAGGCATGGGCACCTGCTTTCCTTATCCTCCTCGCCTTTCTCCCTGCCAGCCAAGCCTGGTTCGCAGAGCCCCGCTGGCTGCTGGGGCTCTCAGGGAAAGCCGGGGCGCTCCCAGGCAAGATGGCTGCTTTGGTGGGCCCAGGCAACGCTCTGCTGTGTCTTGAGGGTCCATGTGCTCCCCTCACCAGGATTTCATTCTCTCTTGTCCCTGGGCTGGCCAATTCTGGCACAGGGACAAGAGAAGGAGTGATGCTGGCAATGGCTCACCTGCTCTTGGCAGCCCTGGCTTAGGCTTGGTGGCCAGGACAGAGGTGAGCAGTCAGCAGCGCTGAGGGAGGAGAAACGGAGTCTGAGTTCCCCTAAATTCCTCACTTCCTCCGAGAAACCTTCCAATCCTCCCACACCAGAATGGGAACTGGTGCCCTGGCCACCGCCACCCCTGCATTTCTCAAGAAACACCAACAGGCCCTGGCTGGGTGGCACAGTTGGTTACAGCATAGCTCCTTGCCAAGTTTTTTTGGGTTCGATTCCTGGTCAGGGCACATACAAGAATTAACCAGTGAAAGCATAAATAAATGGAACAAGTCAATATGTTTTTCCTTCCTTCTTTCCTTCCCTTCCTCTCTCTCCCTTTTTCTCCCTCCCTTCATCCCTCCCTCTTTCCCTCTCTCTCACCATTCCTCCTTCTTTTCCTCTTTCTCTCTAAATCAAGAAAGAAAGGAAGAAAGAAAGAAAGACCCTGGACTGTCACTGTCTGACAGGGGCAGCATTAAGGGGAGGCAGGTGAGAAGCCAAGGGCATGAAACTGAGAAAGGTCCTGCAGATGCAGTCAAGAGTGAGTGTGCCTCCTTCCATGTGGCGCCCTAGGCACCTCACCCCCAGCCTGGTCTCAGCTTGTGGCCTGGCCACTTGTCTGGGAGCCCTACAAGGCCGGCCGCATTCACAGCTATCTTCCTCCCCCTGTCAGGAGGTGCAGTGCACGGGGGGAGCTTGGTGAGCACTGGCTGAAAGAGTTAGATATCCCCCTTTCCCTCACTGTACCTTACTCTCAGCCACCTGGGTGACGTGGACAACTAAGCCGTGCAAGGCCAGCTTTGACCACAGCTCATTCCCACAGACCTCAGCTCAGCCCAGGACAAACAGCTCTGTGAGCTCTTTGTCTGACATTGAAACTGTGCTCCAAGTCCTGACCCTGCAGAGTGTCTGACTGCTGGCTCGGTGAGCTCCGGAGGCCCTCTTCAGAGTTTCCTCTTCGTCCCATGGACGGATGTCTGAGGGCCTCCCTGGACTGGGAGGGGGCTGTGTGTGTGGATGGGGTGGGCTGCAGGACCTGGCAAGACTCAGCACTGCCCCTCTGCCCTCCTTGGTTGTGGGGAGCCCAGTACGTTCCAGGGGCATCAGCCCCTGAGTCCCTATGCCTGGCTGCTGCATTTTCCAGAGGGGAAAGCTGACTGCAAGAGGGGCAAGGCTTATCCCTGTTAGCACAGGGCAGCTGGCATGGAGCGGTGACTCAGCAGTCATGGAAGGGGGCCACTCGGACTAGGGACCCATGTCCCTTTCTCTGAAGGCATTTTACTAAGCCAGGAGGACCCCAGGCGATACGATGTGAAACCAAAACACGCCTCCTGACCAACACTGTCAGCCACGGGGAGGGTCAGCCTGAGGGGTGGATGGAGAGGAGTTTGTCCAGGTGGGACCTGGGCTCTCAGTAACTCGCTGGGTCCCGGTAGGGCTTAACTGCTTGGGTGGGGTCTGGCCTAGGATTTCCTTCTTGTGTCTGCAGGGGGAGTAACACTTCCTCTGTCTCCACTTCCTCCGCAGGCCACCTCTGAGGTCAAGTACCACAGACACCAGGTGGTAGCAGGAAGCCTGGGCAGCTCCGTAGGGAGGTCCTCAGTGGAAGCTAGGGCTACAAAATGGGGGTTTACGGTAGATGATTTCTGGTCTTGTTCTGGAAGCATGCTGTGAGCATCCAGGAAGTGGGTATGGAGCAGGGGGAGTCTGTGAAGGATTTGGTGTGGATGGCGAGAGGGGTCCCTGCAGCGTCGTTGCTCCTATTGGGGTTTAGGAGGGGAAATCTGTGAACCTGGGGTCACATGCACTGCTCAGTTTTCCCCCCCGAAGCTGCTGCTTTTCACCATCATATTGAATTTTGCAGAAGTAACACATGCAAGGTCTGGCAGCTCCTGCATGGGTGGAGCTGGGACTTGAACCTGGACAGCCAGGCTCCAGAGTCCATGCACTCAGCCGCTGCCGTGGCTGCCTCCCATGGCAGAGCTATTCCAGCAGCTGCCATTCGTGGACCTCTTCCCACAGGCTGAGCGTGATCTCTTCCCTCACAGCAACCTGTGCGATGGGCGCTGTTATCTTCCCCATTTTCCCAACGTAGATTAAAATGGAACCTTGAGAAGAGGCGTCACTCGCCAAGGTCGCACAGCCAGGTCACGGTGCAAGAGGGCCTCGGGTTCTGTAGCTGTGCTTTTCCACTTACGTTAAGCTGCTGCTTCTAACGGGAAACTCAGCAGAGGGCATGTGGTTAAACTGCCTTGCCTTTTGGTGAAGTGGGAGGAGGTATCTTGCCTGTTTGTGGGGGGTCTTTTGGTTCCAAAGTGGGGAGGGCACTATTTCTTTGCTGAGAGATTTCAGAGACCCAAGAGGGTAGTCATGTTCTCTGAATATCCCCGGGCAGGAAATGAAACAAGGCTTGGAGCTAAATAAATGCAGCGATGAAGTTTACACAGCTTTTTTACACAAGCCAGAGCGACCTTCCATTAAGGGAGCTTTGTGTACCCACACATTTGAGTCTTGAAAAAGAGCATAAAGGGGCTCAGAGGTTGGCTTTGACAAGCAGAGGTCACGGGGCTGGGACCCCAGAGCCACCTCTTTTCCATTACGTGGTCGCTGAGTGGCACCCCCTCCTTTCCCTGCCAGCCAGCCTCTCTGGGGAGAGACAGAGAGAGGCAAAGCAAGGGTGCCTTCCCTGCCACCATAGGGCCGTTTGGCATCTGTTTAATGGAAACTTGGGAGGCTGGGAGCATTAGAGCCCCACGATTTCATAAACTGTGCTGCCCCGGTGAAGCTATTTCTGTTTCTTTTGCACACCGGGGGGTTTATTATTAAACCACTCAGTGCCACCAACAGGCTGGGGTGAGGACCAAGGGCGAAATGTTGCTGTCTGAAGGCTGCCGTTTGTTGCTGCTGGCTGGCTGGTTTTCCTTGTGTCCTGCAGGAGGCTGCATATTAGACTGTTGTGGAACGGCTTCCACTTCCTCTGTGAATGCTGAGGATGTCCTGGCTTCCAGACCTTTCTTTTAAACCGTTACCCCTGGCAATGCTTTTTTTTTTAAAAAAAATTTTAAATTGATTTTTTAGAGAGAGAGAGGAAGGGAGAGAGAGAGAAACATTGATATGAGAGTTAATTATCTATCAGCTGCCTCTTGCATGCCACCCCCCCAACCAGGGATTGAGCCCACAAACTGGGAATGTACGCTGGGTGTTGAACTGGCAACCTTTCAGTGCAGGGGATGATGCTCAACCTACTGAGCCATACCGGCCAGGGCTGACTTTGTTTTCATACATGGCTCTGGCACCTGTAGTGGTTGGCAAGTTAAGGTTGCATTTTAGAATTACCATTTTAGAACTCACCAGCCAGCAGGCCAAGCCCAGACTCTGAAATAAAGGGATTTTTCAAACGGTAATGGACAGTGGTAGGCTCAGAGAATGGTCAGCCAGAGCTCTTGAAGAGGTTGCTGTTGGTTTTTTTGGAGTGGGATATCTGGAGAAAGGATGTGTGTGAAGAAGGGATGGTCCTATAAGGAGAGTGCTCACAATAGGGCTTCCCTCCTAAACACAGGGCCTCTGTCTCTTTCCCCTGACCCCCTGGGCCTGCAGTGACTTATAGGGTCAGAGGGTAGGATGGAGAGAGTCTGTTAGGTGCTTTATAGGGCTGCCTGGGGTGGTGCTAGGAGTCTCGGAACAGAGGACTAGACTCTAGGACTAGAGGATGGTCCAGGCTACCTGTCAGAGTGTCTCTCCCATCCTCCCCCCCGCTCAATGGCTGGAAGCAGCACCAGCTGGAAAGACCTGCTTTGAATTAGCAAGAAGCTCTGGGATTGGGAACCTACAGGAAGGGGTGTTACCATTCCTGTCATCAGTACACGGTTCTCCTGGCTGCCTCTGGAGCGAGCCCTGGACAGCTGGTGGGGAGCTGCAGCGGGTGCAGACTTGAGCTCCGCCTCCATACTCTGCTCTGGGCTGGTCTCCTAGATGGGCAGTTAGAGGCCTAACTTCCCAGAAACTCAGGTGATTAGTCCTGGTCCTGCATGGACAGGCACGCCCTCCCGACCTACTCCACGCCAGTGACCAGGTCAAGCCTGCA